TTTGCAGTGGGAAGAGGTCCCTGAGGAGACTCCTACTGGAACGGCACTTTTGCCCTTCCCAGAGATCGCAACAACATTCAGTAGGAAAAGACAACATTTCGGAAGGACCCATCCAAAGGACACATGAATTATCTCTGCACTACTTTCTTCTTGGAGTGAGGTTTTACTTCACTGAACTCAAACACATCCTGCAGCACAAGACAGAAAGAGCTGAAGAAACTTCTCAAGTCTCCACACCGACCCTAGGGTTACTTCCACATGGAGCTTTTGCACTGGTAGGGCAAACTGAACCTGTTCACTGCAGAGATTTGAGAGGAAGGATGCTCCTCTTAACATTCACAAAACACAATTCTAAGAGGCCTTTCATTAACTCTCCTGTGGGGAGCCAAGCCATTCCCAGTGGCAGGAGGCTGGCTTCTTGTGTGAGTTTTCTGCATTTGGCTGCCTTAAGTTTCAAGTCGCTGTACACTTCCCAGCCACAGTGACACTTACGAGGAGGTCTTGGCTCTCCTTTACTAGACTGTCTTTGTACGCCAGGATTCTGTTCCTCTCCTTCCGCAGAATCTCCATACAAGTGCAGAACTGATCCTAGGGGTGGAAAAGGTCCCAAATTGAGGTTTGTTTCTTTTTCAGAAGTTTACTATAAAACATTAAAAGCAAAACTGTCTTCAAAGGCCAAACTAGACATAAGTGCAGAATGTCCTGCGTCCTATTGTTACCCCTGACCGGAGGGTTAACATCAACTCTGCAGTTTTTTAAATAATGGGAGAAGACAGTGTAGGGGGGAAATAGTTAAAACCTCCTACCAAAATGCTGCTGGCCCCTGGTGGCTAGGCAGGCCCATCATCTGGCCAGATATCAACACACCCAGCCCTGAGGAGTGACTTTATCCTAGCATCACCCCCTGAGCAAGGCTGCAACCAAGTCAGGAGACGGGCAGCAAAGACAGATCCTGTGGCTCCCACTCTGGGCCCAAAGCCTGAGAGGTTCCCTACAAAAAGTGCCCTGGGACACACCGGAGTTCAGCTGGGGAGGATCCACACGTCCTCCCCATTATCACCCACCTGGCAGATGTCCTACCTTGTACTCTTGGGAGGCCTCCTCCACAGGGACGATGTCGTGGTATCGGTGCTCCTGGGACTGCTCACAGACCACGCAGATGGGGGCTTCGTGGTCCCTGCAAAAGAGCTTCAGCGGCTCCTGGTGCTTCTGGCAAACGCTTTCCTTTCTAGCTGCCACAACTGTCTGATCCCCAAAACAAAACAAATCAAGAAGCAAAAGCTGTCATGACCACATTACTAATAATATTTCAATTACACTGAATCTCAAATCAAGTCGACTCCCCGTCGGTGGGACTATTGATTTTTCTACTGAATGACTGATGGCATATGAATTTTTGAAAATGATACCCATATCGTCTGAAGAATATTGCTCAGTGAAATTGTGATAAGATATTTTCCTTTGGATATTTCCTCCAGGGGTCTCCCAACCTTTTTTAGCCTGCAGGTAACACTTCGGTGGGAAGATAACAACGTTCCGTGCGCCTTGGTGTTTAGTCATGCCGGCCACATGACCACGGAAACATCTTCGGACAGCGCTGGCTCTTCAGATTTGAAACGGAGATGAGCACCGCAACCCTAGAGTCGGATTCGACTAGCTTTCGAGCAAGGGAACCTTTACCTTTACTTTCGCCACCCCCCCTGGAGCCTTTGTGAAAGGCTCCTAGCCATGGGGCTTTGAAGGGTAGCCTCTTCGCCAGCACGTTGCTGGGGAATTGAGGTGCTCTTCCACTCCGACGGTCCTGCTGCTGCTGCGTCCACAATGGAACCAGAGCCGCTGACCGGGACAAGCGTTGGAGATTGGACATATAAAACATACCTTGAGTGAGGTCTTTGGATCATCAAAGAACAGTGAGTCGAGTTAAATCAAAATGCCAAGAATTTAAAAGAAAGCCCCCCTGGGAACGACAAGATGAGTGAGCGGGGGAGGGCCCCCTCCCATACGCATAAAGAGAATAGCGATTTGCCAAGGGGGAGCTGAAGAAAAAGCATTGAAATCTATTTTAAGAAATCAACCAGAGCGCCTGTAAGCGTTTGGGCGAATTTCAGAGACTTTAGCAAGTTTTTTAAAAAGTAAACAATCAACAAATATGGCGTGGAAAAAACGGAGAAAGACAGA